GTCTGCAAAGGAGCAGTCGTCGGGGGAAAGGAGGAGGAGTGAGGAGCGGCGCGCTGCCGCCCCTCGACACAGGGAAGACAGGGAGGAGCAGGCGAGGGTGGGAGGGGAGGGAGAACCCTGGGAAGACCAGCAACAAGGTACCTGGAGTGCATGGCCCGAAGGCGCTGCACAGACGGGTGACCAAGGCGGTGGTGCCAGAGGACAGTCTCATGCGCCAAAGAGCGGCACGAGCAGGGGGCCGACAGCTGGCCTGGCGCAGACGCGGACGCGGACGCAGCTACCTGAGGGGACTCAGTGGTTAGTGTGTACAGGTCCGACCCCGGCTGCCGAGTGAAGGTAGCCAGGTGACGGCCCGTCCGAGCACACGTGCAGTGTGTCACGCGCTCGTAGGCAGGGGTGAACTGGTGAACACCCCCGTCCTGGAGCGCACAACCTGCCACCAAGTTCGTAGAGAACGAGGGGAGGTAGAGACCTGACAGTGTGCCTGACGGGACCGCAGGACAGGGAAGAACAGTGGAGGAGGTCGCAATGACCGGACCCCCAGAGGGGTCAGCGAGGGAGACAGCAACTGGCCGAGCAAGCGGCTCAAGGGCAGTGCGGTCACGAAAGAAACAGCGAGAAGCACCTGAGTCCAGGGTGAAGGTGTGCAGTGCCTCAGTCGACTCAGTACCAGGGGAGACAGACTCACTAGCACCTAAAGCGACAGCCTCACCATCACCTGAGGTGGCAGACACGCGAGTACCGGGAGTGGGAGCCTCACCAGCACCTAGGGCAACAGACGTACTAGCACCTAGAGCGGCAGCCTCACTGACAGAAGCTCCCGAACGATGCACTCCAGAGCGACTACCACTACGGCCACCCCGACAGCCCCAACTAGCGTACCACTCACGCGCACGAAGCACCTGGGGCGAAGGAGGACACGGCAGCTGCACCTGTCCACTACCAGAAGCTCCCGACCGATCCACTCCAGAGCGACTACCACTACGGCCACCCCGACAGCCCCAACTAGCGTACCACTCACGCGCACGAAGCACCTGGGGCGAAGGAGGACACGGCAGCTGCACCTGTCCACTACCAGAAGCTCCCGACCGATCCACTCCAGAGCGACTACCACTACGGCCACCCCGACAGCCCCAACTAGCGTACCACTCACGCGCACGAAGCACCTGGGGCGAAGGAGGACACGGCAGCTGCACCTGTCCACTACCAGAAGCTCCCGACCGACCCACTCCAGAGCGACCACCACTACGGCCACCCCGACAGCCCCGACTAGTGTACCACTCACGCGCACGAAGCTGCTGGGGCGTGAGGGACTCACGCGCACGGCCCTGGAGCTGCATCTGGCCACGCCAGGAGCAGCAGTAGTAGCAGTAGCGGCAGCAGTGGGAGTAGAAAAGGCAGTAGCAGCAGTAGCAGCGGTAGCAGTGCTGGGCAATGCTCACCAGTGGTCGGCGCGGCAGGCGCAAGACGGTGGCGACAGCGGGGCCGCTACAACTGCAGGGCTGGGCCGGGCCGTAGCAGGGAGCTCCGCGGCAGCTGCTGCAGGGCGAGGCCGGGCCGCGACGGCAGCTGCTCCAGGTGCCAGGGGCGGCTGCTGCAGTGGCGGCGGCTCCAGGGGCCAGGGGCGGCTGCTGCAGCTGTGGTTGCTCCAGGGGCCAGGGGCAGCTGCTGCAGGTGCGGGCTGCTCCAGGGGCGGCTGCTGCAGGTACGTGCTGCTCCAGAGGGGGCCGCTGCAGTGGCAGGCGGCTCCAGGGGCGGCTGCTGCAGTGGCGAGCGGCTCCAGGGGCTGCTGCTGCAGTGGCGGGCGGCTCCAGGGGCTGCTACTGCAGTGGCGGGCGGCTCCAGGGGCTGCTGCTGCAGTGGCGGCTGCTCCAGGGGCTGCTGCTGCAGTGGCGGCTGCTCCAGGGGCGAGAGGCGGTTTGGGTCAGGGCGACGCGGCGAGAAGGGCGACGCGGCGGGCAGGTGGCGACGCGGCGGGCAGGTGGCGACGCGGCGGGCAGGTGGCGACGCCGCGGGCAGGGCGACGCGGCGGGCAGGTGGCGACGCCGCGGGCAGGTCGACGCGGCGGGCAGGTGGCGACGCCGCGGGCAGGGCGACGCGGCGGGCAGGGGACGACGCCGCGGGCAGGCGACGACGTCGCGGGCAGGCGACGACGCCGCGGGCAGGCGACGACGCCGCAGGCAGGCGACGACGCCGCGAGCAGGCGACGACGCCGCGAGCAGGCGACGACGCCGCGGGCAGGCGCCGATGTCGCGGGCAGGCGACGACGCCGCGGGCAGGCGACGACGTCGCGGGCAGGCGACGACGCCGCGGGCAGGCGACGGCGCCGCGGGCAGGCGACGACGCCGCGGACAGGGGCTACGTCGCGGGCAGGCGACGACGCCGCGGGGAGGCGGTGACGCCACGGGCAGGGCGACGCGGCGGGCGGCGAGAGCCTGCAGGGGCGGCGTGCGGTCGTGCAGAGGCTGCGCACTGGCCTGACGGACCTGCAGGGGCAGCTCGAGAGTGCACGAGGGCGCACGAGGGCGTACGAGGGCGCACGAGGGCGCACGAGGGCGCACGAAGGCGCACTAGCAGAGAAAGGCGCACGAGGGCGCACGAGGGCGCACGTAAGGTAGAGCGCACAAGGGCGCAGAGGGGGAGGCGCTAACGCAGCACTCCGACAGTAGGGCGCACTAAGGCGCTAGGAAGTAGTTAGTAGAGGTGGGCCCGAAAAAAAAAACTTAGGTCCTAGCGAAGGACCTGCTCTGAAACCATGTCAGAATAACTGAACGAGGAATGGATGAACTAGCAGGAAGGTGGGTACAAGTATGAAACCCTAAGTTTGTGTACCCTCTAAGGCTAGACCCACTATAGCCTACACAATATAAACATACAATGTTTGACAAGCTTGTCCGCGGTGGTATCGCGGACAAAGGCACGAGAGCCCCAGACCCGGAAGCGCGACGCATCGCCAACCTTCCCCGTCCAACGCAGTGTGGGCGAGGTCTCCGGCAAGGAGACACGGGGCCAGAGGTTGAGCTGATGCGCAGCGTACCGGACCGCAAACGGCCACAGAAAATAGGGAGCAGCCGCATGGATCATGGAGGTGCGAGCGATCTCCATGACTAGGCCAATGCGGCGCTCAGCAACCCCATTCTGCTGCAGAGAGGCCGGAAGCGTGAACAACTGGAGGATGCCCTCTGCCTGACAAAAGTCCAGCAAGAGGTCGGAGGAAAACTCGCCACCTCTGTCAGAGTGCAGACGTAGGACGGGAAAGTCCGTCTGGAAACGGTCGCGGAGCTGGAGACGAACAGCGCGGATCCAAGGGATCAAGACAGTAGGGATCTCACCCTTGCTGCGCAAGGGGAAGACCGTGGTGTACCGCGAGTAGTCGTCAACAACCAGCAGAAAGTACCGCTCGCGGCCCTGTCCCTGGACGCGGGCTGGGCCCCACACGTCCATGTGGAGAGTCTGCAGGGGAGCGTCTGTCGGGGGAAACGAGGAGGAGTGAGGAGCGGCGCGCTGCCGCCCCTCGACGCAAGGAAGACACGGCGGGGCAGGCGAGCGTGGGAGCGACGGCAGCGACTGGGGAAGACCAGAGACAAGCAGACGGGAGTGCATGCCACGGAGGCGCGGCAGAGAGGGGTGACCAAGGCAGTGGTGCCAGAGGAGAGTCTGGTGCGACAGGTGACGACACAAGCAAGGGGCAGACTCCGGTCCGGACAAGGACACCTGGCCAGTAGCAGCAACCTGGGGAGACCCGACAGTCAGGGTGTACAGACTCGACCCAGGCCGACGGGTGAACGTGGCCAGGTGGCGGCCCGTGCGGGCACACGTGCAGATCGCCACACGACGTCCTCGAAGGGTGAAGGTGTCAACCCAATCATCCTGGATGACGGCGTTACTCACCAGGTTCGTAGAGAACGAGGGGAGGTGGAGACCTGTAAGTGAGCCAGACGGGACCGCCGGACAGGGGAGGACAGTGGAGGAACGTGCAAGGACAGGTCCCCCCGAGGGGTCAGCAAGGGAGACGGGAACCGGTGCAGAGAGCGGTGTGACTGTGGTGCTGTCGCGGAAGAAGCAGCGGGAGGCACCTGAGTCTAGCGTTCAAGTGTACAAGGCCTCAGTAGGCGCAGTACCTGAGAGAGCAGACTCACTAGCACCTAGAGCAGCAGACTCGCAAGCACCAGGGGCAACTGACTAAAAAGCACCTAGAGCAGCAGCCTCTATACCAGGGTCTGGCGGAACACACAGGTAACAGTCACCCTCAGCACTAACAGTCAATGCATACATGGCAGCAAGGATAGCATCATAGTCAAGATCAAAGATCTCTACTCCCCTCCTAAGCAGCTCAGCCCAGTTGGGGAGCTCAGAGCAGTCAGGAAACTGAGCACGCCAGGCGTCACTAAGGCGGGAAAAGCAGCGGTGCTGGGTGTGCAACCTCCCGCAGGTCTGACCAGCACGCTCACCCGTACGAATGACATACGGGCAGGTACCACCACCCCCAGGCGACTGACGCTGCGCGTACCACTCACGAAGGTCCTGCGGCGTACGGGGCAGGCGCTGGCGCTGCTGCTGCTGTGCCTGGCTGCCTCCAGAACTGCCACGCTGGGCCGCACCACTGCGACCACCGCCACCGACTCCGCTGCCACTCCCACCGCTGCCACCTCCGCTGCCGCCGCCACCACCGACCCCAACACCCCCACCCCCACCCCCGCCACTCCCACCACCCCCGCTGCCACCACTCGAGCCTCCACCACCGCCTCCACCCCCACCACCCCCACCACCCCCACCACCCTTGCCGCCCTTCCCCTTGCCGCTGCGGCGCCTGCCACTGGAAGCAGACGCAACCCCAACCTCCTCAGCACCAAGGAGGTCGACAGCAGCAGCAGTGGCGACAGAGGGGAGGAGGGGAGAGGGGGAACACCCCTCGAAGAAGGGGGTGCGAGGAGTGCCTCGAGAAGCGCCTACAGCGTTAATGCTAACCTCGGCCGCTGTAAGGTGCTTTTCGAGGAGGTCTATAGTGAGATCAGTGTCACCAGCACCAGCAGCTCTAGCGCCTCCTGCAGCACCAGAACCTCCAGCAGCTCCAGACCCTTCTGCTCCAGCTCCTCGAGCGCCAGCACCACTAGCAGCCGCAGAACCTCCAGCGCCAGCACCGCCAGTACCAGCGTCACCAGCAGCAGCACCCCCAGACGTAGCAACTCCAGCCCCAGCAGCTCTAGTACCTCCAGTACGAGCACCTCCTGGTCGAGGGGCTCCAGTACCCCCTGCAGACAAAGTACCCGCAGCACTCCCAGCGCTAGTGTCAGCAGCAGCGCCTCCAGCGGCAGAGCCCCAAGCCCCAGCAGCGCGACCTTGACGGCGAGCGTACCACTCGTGCAGCTGCTGTGGGGAGAGAGGCGCACGCGGACGAAGGCGGCCACTCCAAGGAGACCGCGGACACGTAGGCTTAGTACTCTCAGGCGCCGCACCCCCAGACGTAGTACCTCCAGGCTCAACACCTCCAGACTCAGCACCCCCAGGCTCAGCACCTCCAGACTCAGCACCCCCAGGCTCCTCACGCGCAGGCTCAGCACCCCCAGACTCAGCACCCTCAGGCGTAGTACCTCCAGGTTCCTCTCGCGCAGGCTCGGCACCCCCAGACTCAGTACCCGTAGGCTCAGCACCCCTAGGCTCCTCCCGCTCAGGCTCAGCACCCCCACGCGCAGCACCCGCAAGCTCAGCACCCCCAGACGCAGCACCCCCAGACGCAGGCTCCTCACGCTCAGGCTCCGCACCGCCAGACCTAGCACCCCTAGGCTCAGCACCCCGAGTAGGACCTGAGCCACCAGTGACCTCCACAAGCTCACGCACAGGAGGGTCTACCTGAGAAACACCTGAAGGAGCAGGACCTGGAGCGGGGAGGGGGTCTACCTGGGGAGGACCTGGAGCGAGAAAGAGCGGAGGGGGGGGGCGAGCGGCAGTGCGGTAGGGAAAGAGACGGTAGAAGGGGACCGACTCGTCGAAGGTGACGTCCTGAGACGCAAAGACACGGCGCGAGGTGGGGTCGTAGAACTGCCAGCCAGGCGCGTCAGGAGGAAAACCAAGGAAGACGCAGGGAATGGCACGAGCGGAGAGCTTGTCCGCGGTGGTATCGCGGACAAAGGCACGGGCACCCCAGACCCGGAAGCGCGACGCATCGCCAACCTCCCCCGTCCACAACAGTGTGGGCGAGGTCTCCGGCAAGGAGACACGGGGCCAGAGGTTGAGCTGATGCGCGGCGTACCGGACCGCAAACGGCCACAGAAAATGGGGGGCAGCTGAATAGATCATGGAGGTACGAGCAACCTCCATGACTAAGCCAATGCGGCGCTCAGCAACCCCATTCTGCTGTGGAGAGGCCGGAAGCGTGAACGACTGGCGGATGCCGTGCTCCTCACAGAAAGCTCGCAAGAGGTCGGAGGAGAACTCACCACCTCTGTCAGAGTGCAGACGCAGGACGGGAAACTCCGTCCCAAACCGCTCGCGGAGCTGGAGACGAACAGCGCGGATCCAGGGGATCAAAACATCAGGGACCTGCCCCTTGCTGCGCAAGGGGAAGACCGTGGTGTAACGCGTGTAGTCGTCGACGACCAGCAGGAAGTACCGCTTGCGGCCCTGCTCCTGGACGCGGGCTGGGCCCCACACGTCCAGGTGGAGAGTCTGCAGTGGAGCCTCTGTGGGAGGGAACGAGGAGGAGTGAGGAGCGGCGCACTGCCGCCCCTCGATGCAAGGAATGCAGGGCGGGGCAGGCGAGGGAGGGAGGGCGGGCAGAGACCTGGGAAGACCAGAGACCAGGAGGCGAGAGTGCATGCCACGAAGGCGGGGTAGAGAGGGGTGACCAAGGCGGTGGTGCCAAAGGAGAGTGTCGTGGGACAGGCGGCGACACTCACACTGGGTAGCTACCTGGGCAGACGCGTACAGCTGAGGAGACAAAGGGGTGAGTTGGTGCCACGTTCACACTGGGGTAGCGCAACACAGGGTGTACAGACTGGACCCTGGCGCACGTGTGAACGTGGCCAGGTGGCGGCCAGTCCTAGAGCACGTACAGATCGCCACACGCTGTCCTCCAGGAGTAAAGGTGTCAACCCAGTGATCCTGAAGGACGGCGTTGCTCACCAGGTTCGTAGAGAACGAGGGGATGTGGAGACCTGACAGCTCACCAGACGGGACCGCCGGACACGGGAGCACAGTGGTGGACCGTGCAAGCACTGGGCCCCCAGAGGGGTCAACCAGTGCGACAGGGACAGGTGCATGGAGGGGAGTGACAGTGGTGCTGTCGCGAATGAAACAGTGGGAAGCACCTGAGTCAAGCGTGAAGGTGTGCAAGGCCTCAGCAGGCGCAGTACCAGAGAGAGCAGACTCACTAGCACCTAGGGCTGCAGTCTCTATACCTGGGTCAGGCGGGACACACAAGTAGCAGTCACCCTCAGCACTAACAGTCAATGCATACATGGCAGCAAGGATTGCATCATAGTCAAGATCAAAGATAGGAACATCACGCCTAAGCAGGTCTGCCCAGTTGGGGAACTCAGTAGCCTCAGGAAACTTGGCGCGCCAGGCGTCGCTAAGCCGAGCGAAACAACGGTACTCAGTGTGAAAGCCGTTGCATGGGCGACCAGCGCGGGGACCGGCGCGAATGACATAGGGGCAGCGACCAGGACCCCCAGACGCCCCACGCTGCGCATACCAGTCATAAAACTGCTGAGACGTGGGGGTCTGGCGCTGACGCTGCTGCTGCTGCTGTGGCTGCTGCGGCTGCTGCTGCTGCTGCTGCTGCTGCTGCTGCTGCTGCTGCGGCTGCTGCCCTTGGCCTCCACCCCCTCCACCACCACCGCTGCCACCACCCCCACCACCGCCGCTGCCTCCCCCACCACTCCCGGTCCCACCACCACCCCACCCACCCCCTCCACCCCCACGACCACCCCCACCACCTCCACCACCCCCGCCGCCTCCACCACCGCTCCCTCCACCGCCACCTCCACCACCCCTGCCACCCTTGCCGCCCTTGCCGCTGCGCCTCCCACTAGGAGCAGAAGCAGCTGCGACCTTCTCAGCACCGAGGAGGTCGACGGCAGCAGCAGCAGAGGCGTAGGAGGGGGCAAGGGGGGAGGGGGAGCACCCCTCAAAGAGGGGAGTGCGAGGAGTGCCACGAGCAGCACCTACAGCGAGGATGTTCTTTTCTGCTGCTAGGAGCTGCTGCTCGAAGTCGGCTAGAGTGAGAGTGGTAGGGTCTTTGGCGAGGAAGTGGTCTCTGATAGAACTGAGAGTGTTAGGGAGGTGGGTGACGAGGATGTAGAAGGCAAAATATAACGGGGGGGGTTCTGGGCAAGGAAGTCGTCTGTGAGGGCGGCACGAAAGCGAGCGTCACTAGCGCGGAGGTGAGAGATAAGGTCCTCAGCGGTGGCAAACGAGGACAGGTCTGGGAACAGGTAGGGCAGGATGAGACGACCTACGGCTGCAGTGGCTGGGGAGGAATAGCGCGCAACTACAGCGTCATACAGTGCCTTAGCAGTCTTGTGCTGGCTAAAATGCGCGCGCTCAGTGATCGGCAAATGGTTGCGGATAGCGAGGCGCGCAGCAGCATCGCGAGTCTGCCACTGTGAGCGGTCAAGAGCGGGAGCAGTGTCAGCAGGAGCAACGGCAGTGCCAGACGCGTGATCGAACAGTGAAACGCCGTCTTTTGCATCAGTCATAAGAAACAGTTGCAGGTTGTCGGGCCAAGTGGCAAACTCAATCGGGCGACCGTCAGGCTCAAACGCGAGAACAATAAGTGTCGCCATAATCGCAGCGCAGGCTAAGGCAGTAGGCAGAGGCAGTAGGCACAGGCAGTAGTCAAAGGCCGTAGGCTCAGGCAGCAGGCAAAGGCAGCAGGCGCATAAGGCAGCGCAGACAGCGCGCAGGTGGGGAAGGCGGCCGCGGCAGTAGGGCTAGCGGCGCGCGGGGCTGCAGGGCAGCGCGACGGGCGACGTGCAGGGCTGCGGGGCAGCGCAACGGGCGGCGCGCGGGGCTGCGGGGCTGCACGACGGGCAGCGGCAGGGCGCTCGTGGGGCTGCAGGGCAGCGCGACGGGCGGCGCACAGGGCAGCAGGGCAGCGCGACGGGCTGGCAAGGCGCGCGCGGGGCTGTGGGGTAGGGCAGCGGGCGGCGCGCGGGGCTGCAAGGCAGCTCGACGGGCTGCGCGGGGCTGCGGGGCAGCGCGACGGGCAGCGGCAGGGCGCGCGCGGGGCTGCAGGGCAGCGCGACGGGCAGCGCAACGGGCGGCGCGCGTGGGGCTGCAGGGCAGCGCGACGGGCAGCACGCGGGGCTACGGGGCAGCGCGATGGGCAGGCAAGGCAGGCAGGCTAGGGCAGGGCGTGGGGTAGCACGGTAACCGCGAGCGGTTGGTGGTGGGCCCTAAAAAAAATCGATCCTGAGGTCCTAGGGACCTCCTGCTCTGAATACCATGTCAAAGTAGCTAGCAGGAATGGGTGTGAACTAGAAACAGGTTGGGTACAAATATGAAACCCTAAAGGGGCTATACCCCATATTGGCTACCCCACTACAGCCTAAACATATATGGCACATATATAATATGACAAATTTCTCGTCGAAATTCGATCGTGCGTTCGCGTGGGTGCGCAGCGGTTACCGCGACCCTGCGCAGATGAACTTCAGCGACACTCTGCACCAGCTGCACCCTCTGCACCTATGCACAAGATGTTGCTGCTGCATCCGCGAACAGTACAGTACCTCGTGCGCAGGTGCCTCGGCACTTCTTGTGCACAGGTACATTTCCGCCTCGTGCGGACTCCTCGGTACAGCCGCTACGGAAGCCACAATTTCGCCCATGCACATGCATGGCTCATCTGAACAAGGCTACAATGATGCATCAGGGCTGTTTAGTAGAAAAGCAGCTTTTGCCCTGATTCATCAGGGCTACACAGGGTAAGGTAACCTGATCTGTGAGTGCTATTGTAGGTTTTATACTGAATTTTTGGGAAGGTCACCACAAAGTGGTGTGGTGACTAAGGCATCGGCCTGGCACATAGGAGGTCGCTAACTCGATTCCCACTGTGTCCTTACCGCCTTCCCGCAGGCACGAAGCTGATGTCGGTGGTTGGGTACACTTGGCCCAAAAAAAAAAAAATCCGTTGTACATCTCGCTTCCGTGAGAGATTCGACACTATCCTAAATCATCACGGCTGAACCTACACCGTTATACTGAGTTGTCAGTACGCTAAATAACCACTATACTGATTTTACAGGACAAGTATTTCCCTAATGCTGTTTTTCCAGGACAGACCCACAACACCTATCCTGAATTCAGGAAATTCAAGATAATTTATCCTGATAACATAGGGGCTAGCTTAAACCCTAGCCATAATTACTAGCTAAGCAGCTTTCTTGACAGATTGGTATAGGCTCAATTAGGTGCTGAAACTGCAAGTTTCATCATTCTGCAATTGGTCTTTGGTTTGTCGTGCGGTTTGCTGAATCGGCGAAAAAAATGTTAAGTGTTGCAAAATCAGACAACCCCACCCTCCCAACACCTGCTCGACTTTGTGTTCACTTCCCAAACCACCCAGCCCCCAGCCTTGTGTAGGATTACTAATCTTGTGCAATTTGGGCCTAGAGCTTTAAGAGCTACCTTTAGATGAACATCCCCCTGCTGTCATAACTACTGTTCAAAACTTCCACCCAAGCAACCCCAAGTCTCGAGAATCAACAGAAAAAAACGTAGTACCCCCTTATGGTGCTGCAAAAAAGGATGATACTCAAAGTGGCAAAGTAGCCCAACCTCAGATGTACAAGCCAATACAAAGATCAAGATACAGTACATGTAAATACACCTTACCCCGTTTCCTTGACTCTACTGAATCATAAAACTTAGGGACCCACCTATTCGCCCAGTACCCCCCTTCGTAGTCTCCAAACAAAAAAAAGGCATAAACGGTTCCCTCAATGTAACTGCAACAGTATGGTTTTAGGCCCTGAGAGTTTGTAGGTATGTTGCGCATGAACTATACCTGGCCGGCAGCACCAGGCTGGTAACCAGCATAAGCATCCTGAGGCGGCTTGTTGTACTGGTTATCCCCTGCGTACGCTCCCTCAGCTTGTGTTGTGTATTCCACCTCCACCTCTGCTAAAAGGGAAGAAGACAAAAGGGTACAAGGACAAGGGAGGTGTGAAGGAATGCAGGGGGGAATAACGGAGAGGAACAACGGGGAGGAATTTCAGGATCCAGACCCTCCATGGTGAGTGCAAGCAGCAGAAGCTACAGAGCACGAGGAAAAGAAGCATTGCTTCAAACTGGTGGGCTCCTGTTGGCCACTCTGCACATGTTGGCCACTCTGCACATGTTGGCCACTCTGCACACGTTGGCCACTCTGCTCATGTTACCGCACTGAATGACGATAAAGACCTCAAAAAGTGAGAGAGTCTTACAAATGGAGAGGAGAAACATTTGCTCTCGCAGGTGCCTTTCAGGGGCTTACCTTTGGACCTGTGGCCACACTGAATGATGATGAAAACAGCAGCCACGACACCAACGACCAGCAGCAGCACGCCCACCACGATGCCCACGATGGCTCCTGTTGACAACCCCGAGCTGGAGGAGGAAGAAGCATTGGCGCTGGCGTTGGCGTTGTTGTTGTTGGTGTTGGTGGTGGTGATGGTGGTGGTGCTGCTGCCGTCGGGGTTGGATGGAGGAGGCTCAACAACAGGAGAAGGTGGGGGAGGAGGAGGGGAAGGGGAAGACTCGGAGGGAGATGCAGGGATGGGAGGAGAGATTGGAGGCTCAGATGGGGATGCCTCGGAAGGAGATGCCTCGGATGGCGGGGCGTCAGATGGCTGGGCGTCGGATGGCGGGGCGTCGGATGGCTGGGCATCAGATGGTGGAGCGTCGGATGCTGGGGCTGCACACAAACAAGCAAAGAAAACATGAGCAATGTCGTGTGTGTGTGTGTGCTGCTGCTGCCTCTGCAACAGACGATTTTTGAGGTGCCTCAAGAAGGGACGGAACAGGTGCTGCTGCCTCTGCAACGGATAGTACCCACCAGGTGCAGCCGCGATGCAGGATTTGCAGAAGGCAGCACAGGCAGTGCAGAAGGGGCTGCTGTCGCTCTGCTCCACCACACACGAGGTGTTGCTGGCAGGGCAGGCCACGTTAGAGTCGTAGTTGCTGCAGGTGGGGACAGTGAGAGGGGGGGCATGGACAGTGAGAGGGGGGGCATGGACAGTGAGAGGGCAGAAGGGGCTGCTGTCACTCTGCTCCACCACACACGAGGTGGCACTGGCAGGGCAGGGCATGGTGGGATGGTAGTTGCTGCATGCAGAGGGAGTGGTGGGAAGGGCGGCAGGGTGAGAGGGGAGGCGGGGTGAGTCGGCAGGGCGGTACAGAAGGGCTGCTGTCGCTCTGCTCCACCTTGCACGGGGTGTTGCTGGCAGGGTAGGTTACAGAGGGTTGTAGTTGCTGCAGGCAGGGGCAGCGAGAGGGAAGGGGCGTACAGTGGTGATAGGGAAGGGGCGTGCAGTGGTGCAATTTCCTCACAAAATGCTTCCTGGTCTTTGGCACGTCAACAACTCGAGGAGAGGTGTTGCAGCAAGAACGGCTGGCCTTTGGAAGGTGCCACCAAGAGTCGCGTCTATTCTGTGACACTTGAGATTACAAGGTGAGGAGACATGGTGCATTAGTAAGTCAGTTCCTCACAAGCTGCTCTTCCCTGCTGTGGTACCGTGAGATTACAAGGTGAGGAGAGGTGGAGCGTGCAAAGTGAGAGTGCCTGACTTTTAGGAGGTGCCGCCAAGACAAGATTTCGCCTCAAAAGCCGCCAAGCTATGGCACTTGAGGGAACAAGGAGACGAAACGTGGTGCACCCAGAGGGGCTGTCTTTAGAGGCGCCTAAAACATATGCCATTGGGCACGTGAATGAGCTTACAAATAGGTGAGAGGCGGCGCCCCGAGAGTGGGTGGAAGCGTGCCAGTGAGCTTGTTGCCTTCGAGCCTCCTGTGTGGGTGGTTGGGACGAAGTCACAAGTACATGGCACATGGAAGTGAGCAGCGTGTCTTGTGCATATGAGGGCAAGAGTATTGGAGAATCAAGAGGAGTAATGAGGAGTATGGGGGATAAGGGCCACAGCTGGTAGCACTGAGAGAAAGCAGCAGCACTCACAGCAAGTAGCAGCACTCACAGCAGTAGCAATCACAGCAAACGTACTCACAGCGAGCAGCAGCACTGACAGCAGCACTGACTCACAGGGTGCCAAGGTCAGGCAGCGAACCGAGGCCGGATGGAATGGAGCCGCCCACGCCTGTGTAGTCAAGGCGCCTGGTGGGGGTAAGGCATAGCGGGGAGGATGAGGAGAGTCGGGAGAAGGGGGAAGGTAGCTGGCAGCAGCAGTGACAGGATCTGAGGGCCAGGCAGTGAGCCGACGCCGGATGGAAGGGAGCCGCCCACACCCATGTAGTCAAGCCGCCTGGTGGGGGTAAGGCATAGCGGGGAGGATGAGGAGAGTCGGGAGAAGGGGGAAGGTAGCTGGCAGCAGCAGTGACAGGATCTGAGGGCCAGGCAGTGAGCCGACGCCGGATGGAAGGGAGCCGCCCACACCCATGTAGTCAAGCCGCCTGGTGGGGGTAAGGCATAGCGGGGAGGATGAGGAGAGTCGGGAGAAGGGGGAAGGTAGCTGGCAGCAGCAGTGACAGGATCTGAGGGCCA